GCTCCCTGAGGGCAGGGCCCAGGGGTGGCAGTGCAGGTGGGCAGGGAACACAGGCACTGGAGAGTTGTCAATGTCTGTCTTCTTTTTTTCTTGTGGTATGGGAGATCAAGAGAAGGGCCTCGTGTACCACCTCTGAGCACACCCCAGCTCCCAGAGTCTGTCCTCTAATGACATACAGATTAAAACATAATACTTAGGGGGAAAGGAAATTAAAAGCACCAGACTTGGCCAGTCACATGACAAATCTTGGCAAGAACAGAAAAATGGAGCAAGACATGGGATAAAGAAAGATGTTTTAAAATTCATCCTAATTCATTCAGTGGGCAGTCAGTGATTGGTAATGGGGCTCAGAAGTTTAAAAGGTCACCCTGGACCTTATCTTCCAACTGCCAACTTCCCTGCCTATGTGCAACCAGGATTTCTATAACAGCTTCCCAGAAATATTGTACACATATGTAAGTACTTATTATTATGCTATAGTTTTCCCCTTTTTATGTCATAAAAAAGATAACACAAGATCACTTTCCTCAACATGGTATAGCCTTACCTTAATAATATCTTTTGGGAATCTTCTTGTACCATTCACAAATGCAGAGAACTTTCATTTTTATGGTTGCATTGAATCCAAACTCTTGAGCCTTTCCCAATGTGCAGAACAATGTTCTAATGAGTGCCAGAGATGTAGATTGCCTTGTATCTGTGGGAAAGACAGACTCCTGGGACTGCTGGGTCGAAGCTTTTGTGCCATTGCTGTGGACACAGAGACAAGAAGGTTGTCCTCTGAGCTGGATGTGTGACAGCAGCACCAAGAAAAAGTGCTTTTGCCCCAAAGCCTCACCAGTAATGTAGACTTCGAAGATAGTGCTGTGTGTCTATGCTCCACAGATGTCCCCCAAAATGATGTGAAGTGCCAATCCCAATGCAATGGGGCTCCAAGATGGGGCCTCAGGAAGTGACTGAGGTGTAGATGAGGTCAGGAGGGTGGAGCCTGGGACAGGACTGGGGTCCCCCCAAGAGAGGACAAGCTAGTGCCACCCTTCTATGTCCAGGGGTTGTGAGACGCTGAGGCTGCTGGCTTTTGACCATGGCCTTCCCTGCCCCAAGTCTGGGTTGCCTGTAAAAGCAGAGAAACCAACTATGACACAACATTTTTATCTTTGCCAGTCTGATCAAAATGACATCTTTATGCATTTTTCTAAATATCTTAAGGAAGTTTTGTTGTTGTTTTTGTTTTTTTGTACCAGGGATTGAACTTGGGACCTTGTGTTTGTGCGACTAAATCCCTGGCTCTTTTTCTAAACATTTTAAGATGAAAAGTTTCAAACTCTAGGAAAACAATTTCAAGTACACCACATTGCTGGTCACCCCTGGCTTGCCTGCAAGCAGCGGGGTGGGTGGAACACAGGCCTCGACATACGGATACACTGCCCCACACCATGCAGCAACCAGCCCTCAATGTTTTTATCCTGAATATGTCACCTGTTGTCCAGGATCCATCCACATTACACCCTCTTCATGTGACAGCCCCCTTACACTGCTTTGTGCTGTTTATTGGTGAGGGGCAGAACACACCATCCTATGTCCTGGAGACATCTTTCCCACTGTACTGTGAACACCACACAGAGGAGAGGATGTTGGGCCTTGGCAGTGGTTTGGCAGCCAGAGAGCAGCGATGCCAGGCAGAGAGGGGCGGTGGGAAGGAAGAAAGCTGGGGAGGGGCAAGTGGAAAGGTGCAGGCCCAGCAGGCTCATGGCCATGATGAGCCCAGGGTGATTCTAGAGAGGCTGCTGGGCCAGGAAGTGGGAGAGGAGCATGTGTTGGGAGTCAGGATGCCCAAACCTCAGGCTCCAGAGGAGGGGGGATGAGGGGTCCAAGCCATAAGCCAGAACCCTGAGGCAGGGTGGGAGGTAGAGGGGAGACACTGGTGGACCAGTAGAGAGGCACCCAGGGTGGACCCAGAAGGCACCCACCTCTGAGGGGGGGGCAGGGCAGGAGTGTCTGCACCGGCCTGGCACAGCTACTGGGACAAGTGAATCCTACAGGGGAGCAGAACCTCTGGGAAACAGCTGGAGGTGGGTGTGCAAGGTCAGACTGGGAGAAGAGAGCACCAGGGACTTTGTCTGCCTGAGGTTTGGGTGGGTGTGCTGATGGACACAGTGTGGGCAGAGAGGGAGATGATGTGGCAGAGATGATAGGTGAAGGTGATGGAGGTGGGGGCATTGAGAAGGAGGGGCAGTGACGGAGGTAGTGGTGATGGAGATGGAGGTGGCAGTAGAGCAGGATGTTGAGGTATTGGCATTGAGGTAGAGATGATGAAGATATTGGTGTTGGTGGAGGTGCTGAAGATGGAGGTGTTGGTGGCAAAGGAGGCTGAGGTGTTGGTATTGGAGGTGGAGGAAGAGATATTGGTGGGATGGAGGTGATAGTGGTGGACATGATGGAGAGAAGGTGGTGTTGAAGGAAGGGGAGTTGGCGTTGGAGGTGAGGGAGGTATTGGCAGTGTGAAGGTAGTGATGGAGATGGTGGTGGAGTGTTGCAGAAGGAACTGGTAAGTGACACACAGAGAAACAAAAGTGGGTAAAACAAAAATATTTGCTTTGCTAGCAAAGGGTTGGCCTGCACCAAGGGCTGTGCCATATGACTGACTCCGGGCTGGGTTACAACCTTTCTTTTATAGGAGTTTTACAATCATGACCTCATTTTAGGTAGTTCAATAAGACATTCCAGTTCTTTCAGTTCCCATCACAGATGTACAATCGTGGTCACAGACAGTTTGATTTTAACCCAAATGTAGCATCTCCTTTGTGGTTAGGATTTTTATCTTTAGGGTTCACCTAGTTAGCTATTCTAGCCCACAACAGCAGGGGTCAGAGTTAGGAAAGCAGGACTGGTGACATTCCTTTCATCTTAATTCTTTTATAGTCATAATTTACAAAAAGCTTAGGGTTTAGTATCTAAGTGTACTTTGCTTGTAAGGTATGGCAATTGTTATCTTAGTTTGTACATCTGGTCTCACCGTGGGGATGCGGCTAAGCACCTCCAGCATCTGTTATCTTATAACATTTTAAACTGGGGCTATGTGTCTTCAAGCTTTGTAGTAAATGATGAACCCTCTGGTATTGTTGTCCTAAGAAATAAGCAAAGCAAAGCAAATTACAGAAGTGAAAAGATAGTGGTTATTCTATATTTCCTTAACATTCGGTAGGTTTCAGACTATTTACAGAAGTTCTCTTTATCAGTAGAGATGATGGTGGTGATGACCATGATAACTGAAATGCAAAGCCTGGATGTTTGGTGCAGAGAAGGTGGGACTTGGGTTGGGGGGGAATCACTAGGGAAAAGCAGAGTAGAGGGCTAGACAGGCTTGGTGTCTCAACACTGGTGGGTCATACCTGCACCGTGTGTATGTCCTAGGCTCCCTGGGGTGTCTACAAAAACACCCTGTGCCAGGAAAGGATTGGGGCTCCTTAATAATATTGGAAAGGGGTGAGGCCAGTGCACATTGTAGTGGGCAGCTCAGTGGCCGCCAAGGCCAAGAGCTGGGGACGTGAGGAAGGGAAGCCAGCCCCTAGCTTGCACCACTTCACATCTGGCAACCTTCTGCAGGTGCACCCACATACTGCACCTGGGCTGCATGCTCACCTACATGTGCTCACATGACCTCTCATCCTGTGTGCTTGTAGAGGGCCACTGGCCTGCACCTGTGTCTGTGTGGTCTACCTGCCTGGGGAGCCTCTGGAACACTTCTGTGCCTTTCTTGGTTCTTGCTGCCCTGTGCAGCCACTGTCCCAACAGAAGCCCCAGGCCTCTGACCACGTTGGGGCAACACAGGCACAGCTAAGAGTCTTAACCTTCATTGAAGGAAGTTGAATTCTGGGACTTGGGGCCACTGCCAGGCCCTTCCACATACCTCAGTTTACCACCCAATGGGTCAGGCTGGATGTCCTCCAGGGAGGGTGTCAGGGGCCCATGCTGCCAGCTTTGGTGAAAGTTCCAGCAGTGAGCTAAATGGCAGCTCACCTTGACAGAGCTGTGCCAGGCTGAGCAGGCTGCAGGGGCCTAGGAAGCCATACAACAGCAGCCTTTTTCTCCTCCCAGCTGGGAGGCTGGGCTGAGCCTTGTGCCCGAGAGGGAACATGACAGGGCTCCCTGTGGGACATGGTGGGGCCAGGCACAATGGGGTTTGAGGGATGAGAGGATCTTCATCTGGACCCAGGCTTGAGAAGGCCACAGCAAGTGGCCCAGGAGTGGACAGGACATCTGGCCTGAACTCTGGGGACCCTGTGGCAAGTAAAGCCCCATTTTCCCTGAGCTCAGGGTCTCCTTGGGCCTCCCTGAGTTGAGTAGGTGCTTTAGCCTGGGGAGGGTGAAGTTGATAATACATGTAAGGGCCATTCCCTCCAAGCTGCCGTAAGAGAAGCCATGCCAAGGGACAGCTCACTCCTGCTTAACTTGCCAGGTGGGCTGGGGGAAGTGCCCACTGGTCCTCAGCCCAGAGGCTGGGCAGCTCACCTACCCAAGGGGCTGAGTCTGCCCAGCCTCTCACTCAGGAGGACTGGAAGATGCAGGGCACAGTAGCTTCCAGGAACCCAGGACCTCTCTGAGGGAGGTATGAATGAAAGGTGAAGGGAGGGGACAGGACAGGGAAGGAGGGGGACATCAGGCACAAAATCAGGAGGTCTCACCTGGCCCAGAGTTGGGCAGGCTTCCTGAAGGGCACAGCTTCCTTCTCCAGGCTGCAGTCCCAGCCTGCATCTTGCCCTCCCTCACACATCTTGCCCGGCCTCCCTGTAGCTCCTTGCCCCAGCCTTCAGCAGTGGGGGTCAAACCAGAGGAAAGAAGTTGTGTTGCTAGTCATCAGCCTGGCCCACTGCACCCTCCAGGAACAGCTTCCAAATGCCCACCACCCACTGGCCCTCCTCCCCAGCCAGCGGTGCCCACCCTTCATGCCCTGGCACCCCCAAGAATGACACTGTCTTCTCCACCTGCGGTGGGTTTTATTACACTGCCATCGTGACAACCACGATGTGGGACACAGGAAGATGGCGCCAGTCTCCATGGCCAGCCCAGGCAGCAGCTGGCAAAGGCTCCCCACCGAAGCTGAGGGGGACAGCTGTCTCCCAGGGTCACTCTGCAGTTGTCCCAGCCGGCAGGCTCCACTTGCTTCTCTCTGCCCCATAAGCAGTGTCAAGGATACATAGATCTACGTAAGTGTGCATATTTTATCTAAACCATCGCCTACAAAATTAAAACTGATCATTCTCATTATATTCACGTCACAGTAACTGTGCACAAAGACAACAAACCCAGTGTTGATAACACAGAGCAGGCGTCCCCGCCCTGGGGAAGCACTCGGGGAAGCCAGTGACACAGAATGTGTCCCTGATGGTGGCAACTGCTCTCCTGCTGGCTCCATTGCCCTCCTGGGTGTGGACACACGCAAACCCAGAACTCAGAACCCATAGTGTGTGGCTGTGTCCCTCCAGCCCCCGTGAGGTGCGGTCGGGAGCCAGGACTGACAGAAGCAGGTGTCCCCTCACCCATCTATTTGGGGCCACAGTGGTCCAGGTCTCAGGCTGGCCGCAGAGGCAGCAGAAGAGCAGAGCCAGGAGGCAAGTGGACTGAAGTCTGCCCCCTACTGAGAAGGCGACCAGCATTTGATTCTGGGTCAGGCAGACAGATGAACACAACACCAGGAGTTATGAGGAGACGGACGACAACTTCAACTGACTTCATCCCAGTGCCACTTCCAACCACAGCAGAAACAGCCTGGTATCCTGGAGACAGCCAGGGAGCTCTGCCACTTGCTGCCTGCCTAGGGATTGGGCACACCCCCACTCCACCCACCCCACCTATAACCATCAAGGTCCCAGCAACAAGACTGGTGTCCATGTAGGTAGCCCAAAGGACCTCAAATATAGCAGGTGTGTTCTTCCCATTCTAGGGCCAGTGGCTGTGGACTAAGTGGGTTGCTATGGCTCTGGTCCGGGGGATACCAGCCTCTCCCTCCCCGCATGATGGTGGCATCCACTCCTGCCCCAGTGGGGAAGAGGAGCTCTGAAGACATCACTCCTGGTAACCCTGTGCTCCTGCACTGGAAACACCTGAAGCCCCAGGGAGACCCCTGAAAGTGGTGGAGACCCCAGGGGCAGAACCCTGGCCCCACCCCAGGGATGCCCAGAGGCACACTGGATTGGCACTTGCCCCATCACCCATGGGCAGACACCTGGTGGCCTCAGGGAGGTCTTCTCCTGGGTCTAAAGATAATCCATTTCCAAATTCCCATTTCTCTGCCCAGGCTTACAGTGAGGTCAGGATCACACGCTCCAGCAGTTCCACCCCAGTGACACTGACCCAAGACCAGTAGCTTTAGCTGGCTCTCCTCCTGCTGCTCTGGGGTCCCTGCTGGGGCCACACTCCATGACACAGCTGTGCCTCAGAAGCTCCTAAAGGCACTCGCTGTGCCCCAGGCCTTCCCAGCAGGGGGCCCTGCTGCCCTGCACCAGGGGTGGCCTGTTTCCTCCAAGTGCCCTGTCAATGACTTCCGACCTGTGAGTCACTGCCTGCCAGGGAACCAGGCTCAGAGAACACCCAAGCAGGCCAGAGAGGTGGTCAGAAAACCCCTGAACACAGGACACCTTTGTCAGCCACACAGGGAAACCTGGGCCCCAATTCTGTCCTGAAACCTGGCTGGGAGGCAGGGAGGACAGCACCCCTTCGTAGCAGGTAGAGCCCCGTGGCCCAGGCTTCCAAACATGGCTCCTTGCATCCCTAGGTCCACCCAGCCGGAGGAGTGTGTCACACAAGCAGGGACTTGACCACACTGCAGTGGAACTTGCGCACATGGCGGTACAGGTCCCCGGACTGTGTGAAGCGGCGCTCACACCAGCGGCAGGCATGCGGCTTCTCCCGCGTGTGCACCACGGCGTGCCGGCTCAGGTTGTGGGAGTACTGGAAGCTCTTGCCGCACTGCATGCACGTGTAGGGCTTCTCCCCCGAGTGCGTCCGCTCATGCCGCTTCAGTGTGTAGCTGCACGAGAAGGTCTTGCTGCAGAGTGGGCAGGTGGGCACGGCACGATTGGGCGAGAGCCTGGCCCGGGTGCCATCCCGCTCTCGGAAGTGTGCACTGAGGTGCTGCTGCAGGGTATGGGCGCTGGGGAACAGCTTGCAGCACAGCGGGCAGATGCAGAGGAGCCCTCCAGGACCCAGCTCCTCCGTGGCTCCTGCCTCCCGCTGGGAACCCAGCTCCAGCTCCCGGCTGGCCGCCTCTCGGCAGGGCAGCAGCTCCAAGTCCAGTGGCAGGTGCTGGGCTGTGGGGGCACAGGCTGGCTGGAGGGAGCTGCGGCAGCTCCAGGGACCGCGGCTCTGCTCCTGTTCCCATCGCGAGTCCTGCTCATCCTTTACCAGAAATGGGGCTCCTCGCTGCCTCTGGCTGCTGCAGGCCAGTGTTTGGACTGGCTCTGGTCTCGGACCCGGCTTCAGCGACAGGTCCAGCGCCCGGTCCGACTCTCTTGGGGCCTGCCAAGGGGCAGGGCTGGATGCTGGCAGAAGGAGCGCAGCCTTGACCCCTGGTGCGGGGAGCTTGGCAGTCAGCGCAGCAGGGCAGAGGCCTGGGGTGCACGCACGCAGGGGGCACGGTGGCCGGTGCTGTGTCTCTGCCTCGGGGGCAGGGACATCCCGGTGCAGCGCTGGGTCGTTCTCCCTGAGCCTGCCCTTGCAGACCTTGACGATGTCGTACATGTGCAGATAGCTGGCAGCGGCCAGGACGTCCTCGACGGGCAGGCTGTGCAGGTCCAGACGGCCCTCGTACATGAAGTCCAGCAGGCGGCCAAATGCGGGCGCCGTGACGATGTCGCCGTTGAGCCGCACGGTGTTGCGGCCGCCGGCGGGCCGGTCCCTGTAGAAGAGGTGGAAGTAGACGCTGCACGCGGCCAGCACGGCGCGGTGCGCTGGGAACTGCG